CCCTCCCCAAAAAACACCTCACCACCCGCTGCCCTGTGGGGAATATCAGGGAAAGGTAACCCCCACATTTCTAAAAGTGGCCAAGGTTGAAAAACACTGGCTTAGAAAGACACCACATTATGTGATTTATATAAAAACCCTGTTCCTGGTTTGTATCACTTCAGCCCTGGAGAAGGACTGCATGACTGAACAATATCTCCACAATGATCAGATTCGTAGAGGCGCTAAACCAGAATTTCTTAAAATACAGGTTGTGGCATAGCCTGGTTTTCATATCAGACATAATGATCGATTCATACATCAGATCAAAAATAAACTGCATTATATCTTAGCAGGATGTCTGTTGAAAAGAAACAGTTTCATCAATTAAAAAACAAATTATTTGACGACTTCCTTATTGGAGCTAATAAAGCATTAGAGTTTTGATAAGAAGCCTGCCACAATAAGTTTGTTTCTTGTTCTATTTCTCAAAGAAAATCAAGATTCAAAGGTCACTAAGGAAAATAACATCCAAATGGATTATAAATATATATACAAATACACGCATGTTCAAAGTACCCCATCTTAATTAATGTAATGGGATTTACATTCAGCTAAACTTAGAGAGTATCCATAAAATTTCACTTGAAGCAAAATGTGGCTGTGAACAGTTGCAAGATACAAGCAACGCAGGATGCTTGTATGGAAAGATCTATTTCTATAAGCTCCCTGTTTATATAAATAGAAATAAATAAATATTCTAAGAGGGCACAGAAACTGGTGAGCAAAATCAGAAATAATGTACAGCACATTAAGCTACCCCAAAATATACAATATGCTTGTTTAACATCTTTGATATACCTAATTTTAACTTTTAAAATCTCTGGTCTTCATTATGATCCATCTTCCCTTTACAATCTGCAATTCATGTTCCATGTGAATATAGGTGCTAAAAGTTTTAGAAATGATGGATTTGACACATCTTCCCAACCTCCAGTATTCAGCTGTATGGCACGCTGAACCTTTCTGCTCTGTCAATATGCCCAAATAAAAATGATGACATATAAGTGGGATCCTTGTCAATTTTGCATTCATTCAGATAAGCCCCTAGGCCAGGAACTAATTAGCAGATGTCCGGAAGTTGACCACTGTAGTTCCTTTCTCTCAACTAGAACCATCTATGACTGCTAAAACATGCCTGACATTTCAAAATGGAAATATATTTAAAGAAACTCCATGCCAGACTATGGTGAACCAGGCACTCAGCAAATTCTGTATTCAGACTCCTTCCAGTCTGGACCATTTCAGGTGCTGAGTAGAGATAAGTGAATAAACAGAATATTCCAATCCAAAGAGGCTTTACATAATTGCAGTTGTTTGTGAAACAACTCTTAGACAGGTGAGAGAAAGGGCTTTGGCCTAAGGATACCTTATTTTCTTCCCTCTTTTCTGCATTTGATGGGGGCAGGTGTTTTGCAGTATAGAAACCACAGGATCAATTTGCATAGAGCATTGTTTGGGACAGAGACAAGGTTAGCATGGTGAGGTCAAGAAGCAAAATTGGGATCATAAGGCAGGAGGTTGATTGATTTTTTACCCAGCTTTTCTGTTCTTACAAGTGTTTAGCAAAACTTCAATGGGGATGTCGTAATTCTGTGGTGAAGAAAGGCTGAGATGCAGCTTATCATACCTGGAAAACAGATTTCCAGCACTACCCTCTCTCTGAAATATGCTCTTTTCTATCTGCAAGGATTGCATCGTAAGGACAATCAAACCAATGTTGTGCCATGCAATTGTTCCAGAGGTAACCTGGCCTCAGAACATGCAGATAAATTGGCAAGAGCTGTTAGACAGGCAGGAATACACTTCTCCCTGGATTCATTTGGAGGTGATGTCACGGAGCTAAAAGCAACGGGCAGAGATGGGGAAAGAGGATTCCCCAGCAATTACAGTATCTCATGAGCCAAAACACCAGGAAGGAACCACAGGAAATGGCAAAGCAAATTCTTTAACCAGACCGATAATTAAGAGGGCAATTGTTCCAGGCAGATAATTAAAAAGGCTACTGTCAACTCATTTCCCCCTACGCCAGCACAGTAAAGCGAGCATCTGAACAAGGACATTCTGCTGGATCTTCAACAAGAGAAATATCTTGCAATCCGGTGATATGTTTACCTCTACTTACCTTAATGATTCCATAATTTATGGAATCAACTTCTCGGATGTGACAACACCCAAAAGCATAAATAATGACACACATTAGGTTAGCGCGACACTCCAACTACACAGTAACCAGAACGCATACACTAACTGCATGTTCTTCCAGCCCAAATGATAGAAAAGATGAAAAGCAAAGAGGACGCTTCATGCCTACGATTCTAGTTTGGACTCTTCATTAGTTATAGAGGCTCTTCTTCCAAGGAGTTTAGGGTTGCATGGATGGCCACCTCACCTGTTTTACAACAACCCTGTAAGGCAGGTTATGCTGACCGTGGCTGGCCCGAAACAGCACGATGGAGCAAAGGCTTGAATGGGGTCTGCCCTACCCTAGATGGGTTCAGATAACCTCCCGAATCTCTCCCACCTGCACCCGACGGACACACGGTCCTAAGTTGCATTGCCACCAGCCCGGCTCTCCTCCTGCTTCTCCGGCTTCAGTCGTTCCAACGCGGCCGCCCGAGGTCCTCAGATCGGTAGCGCTTCCCCGGCGTTAGAAACCAGGCGGTTAAAGGCTCCGACCCCGCAGGCAGCCGTGGGTCAGGCGCGGCTTTCCGGAACGCCCGAGAAGGGCATCCCTGCTGGGCCAGGGGCACGTCGGTGCCCCAGGCGGCCAGTCGGGAAGAGGACTGCCCGTGAAGCCCGCGGGCGCTGGCTCACCTACCCGAGCAAGGTGATGTACTTGGGGTCGGTGATCAGGTTGGAGTCGAGGGTGACCGAGAGGAAAAGCGGGCTGACCTTCCGCGACAGCTCGCTGCTCAGCTGGAAGCTCAGCGCTGCCCCGTCCTCGGCTCGCCCCGGCTCGGCCCACGCCCCCGCCGCGTCCTGGGCGCGCCAGCCGCAAAGTTGCAACAGCGGCGGCAGCAGGAGCAGCAGCGGCGGCGGCCGGGGCCCCCCCCCCCGGCCGCGGCCCCCGCTGTGGGGCGGCGGGGGAGGGGGGCCCCGGCCCCCCCCCTCCCCCCCCTCCCCCCCCT